GTGGGACACTTGCCTGCTGAGTGCCCCATTAGAGCTGGATTGCCCAGGGGAGGCCTCACCCCGAGGGCTCTGCAGGGCTGTGGGGGTGGCACCTGAGCCCACACAGCCCCCAGAGTAACCCCTGGTCCTGCCAGGAGCCACCACCAGCTGCCTGCTCTTCACACAGGTAGGGTCCAGAGCCACAAGCTGGGTCAGATCCCACTGATATCTTCTGTGAAGAGCAGTCCTGCCTTTGGTAGGAGCCCCACTTTCTGTCCCCATGGCTAGACAGGCAGCCTGACCAACCCGCTGGTTGGGCCATCATCATGTTGGGGACATCATGCTGCTGGCAGCATTAAAACAAACACTGCAATCTTTGTTTCACCCCTGCCTTGGACAGACTGAAACATTCACCTGGTGTGAAGCATCTGGTGATGAGCAGGGACCAGACGTGGGTTTGGTGTAAAAAGGGTCTTGGTGTCCCCAGGGAGAGGAGATCCTTGCACTTGCCACCCCAGCCAGCTTCCAAGGCCTCCAGCATCTGCCAGGGTTTGGGAAGCTCTTGGGGTAGGGGCATGTTTTATAAACTCTTTAATCAGCTCAGGATGATGCCAGTGGTGGAGGTGAACCAGCACCTCTTGCAGAATTACTTCCTTTCTGCTAACAGGCTTGAGATGGTATCAGACTTCAGGAGAACGATCATTAATTTGCATTTCAACAGAGGCTTTCAGTGTGACCTTGGACACACCGAGTCCCTGCTTTGGCTTGCAGGTCTCCATGCATGAGGTGGTGATAACCCCTTCCTTCCTCTGCCCACCAAAGGCTGTGACAACAGATTTAGGAGCTAACGTGGGCTAAAGAGAGACCTTTATTATCTCATTTCGATTCATTTTTAACAGTTTCAGCAAGCACTGGCTGGTGGGGTCAGTGTTGGGTGATTCTCTTTTGCTTTGTATACAGAGTAGCTCTTTATACTTGTAAAAAAAAAAGCCAAAGATAAATTTTACATCTTTGACAGGGAAGGGAAAAGGTAAAATTGAGAAGCTATGTTATATTTCTCTTCAAAAACTATGTGAGTTCTTGGAAGCAGATAGGAATCGAGGAAAACAATTTTTTTCACTTCTAAGCAATTTGCTGAGAGAGGAGACACGAGTGGGTTGTGGTGATTAGCAAACAATTACTAATTTCCACTTGGAGAGAAGGAGACAGGCAATTGGCAAGAGTTTTTCCAAGCCAATATTTCCTAGTTTCAGCATACCTGCTTTTAGACCCCAGGTTGTTAGCTGAAAAGCCTTTGCTTTGGTTAATGACATTTTCATTCATTTAGAAGAGTCAGAAATGTCAAATCATTGTTCCACGGGAAGTTTTGTTTCTGGAGGAAAGTGACATTTCATTTAGGAGTCTGAATAAACGTGTTGTTTAAAAGCCAATGGGATGGAGAAGCTGAAATCTGAGCGAGGAGTTCCAACTACTGAATCCAGTCATCACTCACACCACCCATCACTTTAGGGCTGAAAAGCACCTCTTGGATTTTCCCCTTTTAGAGCAACTGTTAAAAAACAATTCATAACAAAAACGTTGAGATGAGATAATCCACTTCCTCTCTTCCTCTTAAAAAGTAGATATTAAAACCAGCAGAATTAAATCCTGGGAGTTACACTCACCACAGAATTTTGGGGAGTTTGTCTCAGGATTTGAGGACGCCTGGAGCAGATTCTGCCAGGCTTGTGATGTCACTAATTAGGTTTCATGTCATCAGGACAGCCACAGAACAAATCACTATGGTGGGTGCCCCTGGAGACCCAGAGCTCAGGCAGCCTCACACCACACGTTAAAAAAACTTTCTTGGCTCATGCTTATGAGAAAATGCTTTTTCCACACAGACTCTGTGGTACCTGCAGCTAAACCAGAACGTTGCCAAAATAAAGGCCTGGAGGCTGTTGTGGAAGAGCAGCCTCAGGCCCTGCGTTTGAGGAATGCCACCCTTAACACCAGCCAGCTCAGAACAGCAGTGAATGAAAAAACAGGTAAAGGATGAAATCCACACATGAGGTCCTAGAACTGCATTGAGGACAGACACAAGCATCAGAAAAGCAGAAGAAAAAGGGTCCTTACCCAGTTCCTCATGTTTTCTTCACTCTCTGATGGAGACAAGTCTCAGTTGTGCATCAGTCCTGAGTGTGCCTAGATTGAGAGCCAGGCACAAAGACCCAGCTTGGCTTTTGAGGTCCCCAAAACTTTCCTCAGGCTTTGCTTGGCTTTGAACCCTTCTCTCCCACCCGGCCTTAACTGCTGTCACCTGCCAGGCATCTCCTGCCTTGCTCTTGCCTCTTCTGCTGCCCTGACAGAGGGGAAACCTTGCCAGGGCAAAACCACTGGAGAGCATTTGGAAGGTGCCCAGCTGGTCTCTAAATGCAGTCAGGCCCTGAGGAAGCAGGAGTATTTGTTTCTAGCAGCTGCCTCGTTAGCAAGAGGCTGAGGTGGTAATTAGATACTATATGGTCATGATGGGTTTACTAGGGAATGAACCAGGCTCCCAAGAACCGTGCCCACCAGTGGAGACGATGACATTTCAGACATGAAATGGCCCAAGGTATCACCAGTTTACACTGTTTGATGGCATCTCTGTACCTGGACCACACTAATAGCATGATTCAGGCCCATTTCAGTGCAAAGTCAGGCAAGCTGACCCAACTCACCCCCCTAGAAGAAGGCACGAGCAGGGGACAGTGTGCCTACAAGGTGATGTACAGCTCCAGGGAGTTGTTACTCTCCTTCAGCTGAACCATGCCAATGGGCTCAGTGGGAGCTCCCAGCTGGCTTCAGCACAAAGCCATTGGTCACTGCTCGAGTTGGAGGAGCCCCTGGAGCAGATTGGGAACATTGGCAGTGTGTGAACGTGTCTCAGCTCCAGGGGAGCAGCAGATGTGAGCTGGCCTGTGGTACCAAGCAGGTGGAAAATGGTGTTTGGGTAAACCATGCCCCTAGATCTGCAGCAGCACGTCTGCCTGTGCCCCAGTGTGCTCCTCCTTTCTTCCTCCTCTCCACCCCCTCAAAAACGTTGGGGCTGAATTTC